ATATATATATATATATATATATATATAATTACTGTAAGTAATTATTACATTACTTAACAATCACAGCTAGCCTCAGTTTATGCTGATGGTAAAGTGGTAAAGAGGAACCCTCTCAAGGAGAGCCTGGATTCTAATAGTAAATAGATAAAAGATTGAAATGTTAGTTCTGTAGGTTACAAGATCCCATTTTTAAAGAACCATGACAGCCCTTATCATCACAAGCTTGCATACCATCCAGTGATGCACTTTTTGATACATATCCAAAAAGCAAAATGGAAGACAGTGATCTGGTAGGTGAACAAATGAGTGTGGAAATATGAAGGCAATAATATAAAGGGCTTTAAAAAATTTTCAAGTACAATTTCTAATTTTATGACACTAGAGAGTAATGCAGTCCTTCCCATTGTGCACTAACCCTAAGACTTCTGGGTGTGCCTTTGAGTCAGTGTTGACTCCTGGTGACTATAGGGACTGCTGCCTTGTAGAGGGTAAAGAAGATGAGCTTGACAGGTGAGGAAGCACATTCAGACTTGCAAGATTCTGTTACTATAGCCAATCTTAATAAAAATAGTTTTAGCCCTATGTGGATTCTCTTTCTTGGACTGGTCTATCCCACAGGGCTGACATCCTTGCAGTATTCTTGACAATATTTCTGGAAGTAGTTTGCCATTGCCTTATTCCTAGGGCTGTGAGAAAGTGACTGGCCCAAAATGACCCAGCTACCTTCGTGCCTAAGGCAGGACTAGAACTCCATGTCTCCCAGGTTCTAGCCTGGTGCCTTTAATCATTACACCAAACTGGCTCTTACCCTTTTACTTGCCCACATTAAAGCTCCTACCCAGCTAGGACTGCAGTTCATGTCATGTTTCTTTGGTGGGATAAGTTACCTGGTTCTCCAATATCTATATTTTAGAATGTATTTAATTTGCTATATTGATTGCTAACTCTTTCTTCTGGGGTGGGTGTGTCTTAGGAAGTGATTTCCTACTATTCCCAATATAATTTAGATGAACGGATGAGAAGTCATATGGCACTGGACTGGCTTATGAAAGAGCAAGAAACTCCAGGCATTATATCACAAGAGCTACAAGTGGCACTTAGAGAGCTTGAAGAAGCAAGGAAAGCCGGGCAAGAGCTGCGGTTTTACAAAGAAAAAAAAGAAATCCTTGGCCTAGCACTGAGTCAGCTGTATAGTGATTCTGCAGCCACCTCTTCAAATGATGATCATATGAGCCTAGCCCTCAGCGGCTATCACTAACATGCATTTGAGAGATGGGGTTATCATAAGCTTCGTCAACAGCAAGTAACTGTTTACCTTACCTAGCGTATTGTGTAATGTACTAAGCTGAAAGTCTCAGATTTCTTCCTTGATGAGAAGAATGTATTCCAGGTAGGTAAGGACTCCTTGTATATTAAACTAAAGGTCCCAGGAAGCAAGAAAGGACATAATGCTTCAGTTTATGCTTCTTTCATTGGTTGGGCAATGCCTAAAACTGCCATGATACAATCTCAGAATGGACCAAGAGACTTTTTAGAATCTCTCTTTAAATAATAATAGCATTTAGGCTTCTAACTTCTTTAAGAAGAAGCATAGTTAGTTAAGTATTGTTGACCAGACCTTTTAGTGTATTGAATTAATTCATCTGGGAGATGTATGGGAAAGAAGTGAAATATCCTTGCAGTATGGAGGGGAAAAACCCACCTGTAAGTTTACTAGTCTTTTTTAAAAGAGAACTATAAAGTTTTCATATTAAGAATAGTGAAATTTTCTCAAAAAAATCAGTGTGATAATTATAAAACATACTTAGCTGTAGCAAATCTGTATAAATACATTTCTTTTTACACAAGAAAGGAAAAAAACCTCAGGTGAAAGAAGCCAACTTCAGTCTCATTTACTAATTAGGCAAATAACATGTCAGACTTGTTGCCTCTGAATAGGGAATCAAATGATTGCATTGTTTTGCTAGTCTATATTGCTTTCCTCTGCAAATCAGAAAAAGAAAGCAATATTTTTGAACAGTAATTGAAATAACTACACATCTTGTTCAAAGTTCCAATACTAAAACAGGCTGTATAGATACTTAGCAGGAGAAACACTGACTGTTACATCAACACAATGCCCAATCAATGTTGGAAGAATCATAATAATAGTCAAGTGTATGGCTACCAGATCTGGACTGCAAAAAAAATCAGATTAGGATTGATTCCTTAAAGCAGATACATCCTTTTTCAGGGTTGCACAGAAGTCTGGAAAAGATGGATTGCTTTGATGAATAGCAGAGTGGTGCTGTCCTCATGCAAGGACTGAAACACTTTGGAATCATTTTTCAAGTGTGCTCAGCTTTACTAACTGTCACCACAATAAAAAGCCAAATATATTTTGGGATTGAAAATGATAATTTAGAATTATTCAGCACAGTTCCTGTAACAGTATTTTCTATTTAATTTCACATGAAATAATGACATCTTAACAACTGAATTTTTGGTCTGCTTTCAAAATTTCCTAACTTAAGACCCTCAACCAAAATTGTTCAAAGCTGCTAATATTTCATTCATCATGGATTTCTAATTTAGCAGTAATCTTGGCTGGTTAGCTCTTTACCTCTCCAGTATCACAATATATTGTTTATCAACCATAGTCCAGACAATCCAGTTTGACTGAAGTTTCCACTGTTGTTATCTATAATGCAAAAGAGTCATGTGTGTTATTATATTACTGTGAATAACTCTGTATTCACATATAGCCAGAAAATGGCATATTATACAAAGTAAATCAGGTGCTTTTTAGCATTCATCTACGGTTGTCATCTCTGTGCTTCAACAAATTGTTTTAGTATTAAAATAAGATCCATTGCCTATACAGAATTGCAAGAATGGGTATATGAAGGAACCATAATATTAAAAATGGCTATGTGTATTTCATTAATGTATTCTGTTTGATCATCCTCATATGTAGAATTTGGATAGTAAAATAAAGTGTTCTGAAACCTTCTCAGAAAAAAAAAAGCATATTATGAATGTTCTGCATCTATGTATAAACATAGAGACTTACTGTGATAGCTAATTTCTCTGGGGCATAAAAACATCGTAAGGCTTCTTTCATTCCATGGTTTGTTTTACACTTGAAACCTAAACTTGTAATGACACATCAAAGGAGAAGCAACTTTGCCCTCCTTCCACAAGGGGACAAAAAAAGAGAACTTAAAGCACAGTTTTACCTATAATCTAAAAATTCTCCATGTTTCACAACCTTGTGTCCAGTTCTTGAACCATAAAATAGTATACATTTGTACTGGATTTTTTTTTCTTCCAGTTAAGCAAATAACAAGAAAAAATAAAAAAAAAATTTGAGCAGCTAGCCAGCACAGATTTTGTTCCTTTGTTTTACAAATGAGATGGCAATTGTTTGGTTAATATTTCAGTCCACAAAGAAAAGATACCCCAATAGCAAGGGCAGATTACATGGCTGTAATTTCAAGGCTGGCTGGGGAATTCTGGGAGGTGAAGTCTACACATCTTAAAGAGAAGCCTGCTCTATCAACACTCACTTCTTGTAAAGATTAAGCACAGGAAGAAAGGGAAAAGGGAAAAACTAATCTGCCTCTTGTAAGGCAGGAGAAGATAGGAGGGTGCACAGGAGGACAGAAGCTCATCTGATTTTATTTTAGACATAAAATGTAAATTGTTTGAAATCTGTAAGTACACAAGCCCATTGATATGCACTCAATGCTGCCAGTTGCTTTCACCCTAAATTTTCCCCTCTAGCCATTTTTCATCCACCAATTCTAAACCTATGTTTATCTTGGAAGCATGGGATGGAACATCACAGGAACAAAAGCAGTGGGCATTTGTTTGTGGATATGGGGAGGGGAGTAGGAGAAAATGGGCTTTTATAGGAAGAGTCATAGTTTGTTTATGTCAGCTCCTTCTCTGACTCACCCACCTGCCCTCCTATTGTATTCTTGAGGAGGGGAGGAAATTACAAGTAAAATATATGTGTCATGGCTGTTTACCTATCAGTTTCATTTTCATACTCTGGCTTTCTTCTAGCCAGCAGTATGGAGACCTTGCTGATTGTAACAAAGACTTACTTGAGTTCACCAGTTGTTTGTAAAAAGCCAAGGCTCCTTTGCTGTTATGCCATTGAAGAGGGGCTTGAGGAGACTCCGTCTGGCCACGTGGGCTACTTCATCCCAAGCATTGCTATTTTCACATACGTTGAAGGTTGGGTTAACGGGATCCAGCACAAATGGCCTAAGAGAGAGAGAAAATGGCCCATATTGGCAAATGAATGGACATTCAAACATGCTTTGCTACAAGATGGCTTAGTTGAGCCTATGCACCCTCAATGTTCACACATGCACACATCCCCTCTCACCCAGCCTAGGGTTCCAGCTCTCCCTGCTCATCCCTTTCACAAATCTTCTATCTATCATCTCTCTCTCTCTCTCTCAATTTTTATGGCCACCCATCTCAAACAAGTGACTCTGGGTAGTGTACAACAATTAAAAACAGCAAAAATCACAAAATAAATATGCAATCAGCAACCAAGATAAAAACAACAACCATCAACACAACCACTTCATAACTAACACTCTGACTCCTACACCCAGGAACACACTTTTTGTCACACATGAATATTCATCTCCCAGAACAAAGCATACCAATGCTTGTTCTATGAAAACAGACGATAGAGAAGGGAAGCACAGGAGTTTAATATGAGTGATGACCCTCCCAGAAGCAAAACCCCTCTTCAAAAACAAGAGGTGGGAACACAGTCCTCCCCTACCTGGTGTCATTGGGCAATACTAGAACAGAAAGATAAGGAAGAAACCAGTAAAAATTGAAGTTTGCTATTCCTAAATATACTGTATTTTGACAATACAAATTGAAATACATACACATTTGGGCACAAGAGATATAACTATACTGTTTCATAAAGAAAAGTCCCATTTATTTCAGACAGCTTGCCGTGATGAATTAATATGGTTCATAAAACTACCGATCAGGTAGAAGTGGGTACTATCATCAAGGCTAGTTGAACTACAAGCTCTTGATCCCCAAAAGCATGGCCTATAGAAGCTGTTCTTTCTAGTGTCCTGTAATGCAGACAAATATTTCCTAAATAAGTTATAGTCACAAGCTGCAGTTTTAAAGAACCTTGGGCACAACTTACTAGAAGCTAACCTGGCTTTTCCTTAACCAATGACTTTTTATAGTGATAGAAAGTAGAGTTGCCCTGTACTTTTGCTGTAACAAAATGAAGAGGTAGCTAACTATACAGTAGGTTTACTTACCTACTTTGCTTCAAAAACATCTTCTGGAAAATTGGAAAATTTGGTCTGTAATGTTTGTGCCATGTGATACATATTGCTTGATACCGAATCAAAAGCTTCAGAACAGCTCTCATGCCCTGTACAAAGCTGAAAAAGATGGGCTTTCCAGCCAGCTCCCAGACATAAATAGTGATCAGTTCAACTGTATAGGAGGAGGGAAGCCTGCGAAATCTAAATGCAGAGACAGAAATTGAGACAGAGAGAGGAACTGCACACAGTTTCCATGGCAAGAAATGGTTAATAGCAAAGGTTGTAAACCAAAGGGCTAAAAACTCCCATCTGAGGGAGATGGGCAGCATACAAATTTAATAAATAAATGAATAAATAAAATAAAAACCAACAATAGCATTTTGTTTTTAACTTTGGTTTGTTAAACTGTTCCTTGCATGGGAAGAGCTGCAGGCTTAGCTTTTCTATATTATTTCCCCTGCTGCCACCAAGTTTTTTATTTGTTTTCTGATTTCACAAATTACCCATCATATGGAGCTGGAAAAGACATATAAAAAAGATATAACAACCTATGAATCACACCTCTACTATTATAAAATGGGAAAAGATGAGAATCTGAAGATAAAAAAAAAGTGGAGATTTAGATACTAGCAACTTACTTATTTTCTTCGGTTGGTTCAGCAAATGAAGTTTTGAACCAGTGCTTCATTAAACGTATGAAGTCCTTCACCCTCGCTGTTGATGCTTTGACAAATTCAACTTGGTACTTCAATAAGGCCATGGTGTACAGCTGGATTTTATCATCATCACTGCAAAGGTACAGCTTGTGGTAAAAGCTCTCTTTTAAACCTGTTAACACCAAGCAACTTATAAGACTAATGATGCTGCTTTGACCTACTTTACCTTTAGATCTTAACTAAAACCAAACCTTACAGATTGTGAGCTCCTGAAAATATTACATCAATTTAAACTACAATAATGTAGAACTCCCAGTAGTGATGTTTTGGTATGAGGAGGAAGAACCACTTTCCCAAATAACAGCCACATCTTACCTGTTGATAACACAGATGCAAGCACGCCATCGCAAGGCATGATGTCAAATGAGTGGCCATGGTGATTTTTATAACACTTAAAATAGAACCTTAAGGAAAATTTTGTCCGTTTCTGCAAGACTAACCTTAAAGGAGGAAGAAAGTAGAAGATTTAATGATGCTTCTATGCTAAGAGCTTAACTGTAATTAGGAGGGGAAGGCATCAAAGTAGAAGACAATAGAAGACAACTTTCAATTCAAACCTGTTCGTCCATGAGGATTTTATCAGGGCGCTTCCTAACTCTTCTAGTATCTCTGGAGTTGTCCTTTGGCAGTCTTCTAAACTGGCAAAAGCTTTGCTAAAAAGAACTATGTCCACATCAGAAAAGTCTTGGGTATCTGTTCCTTTTATATATGAACCACCCTGTTGCATAGAATATTACCCAAAAAGATAGTTAATACTTGATTTTAACCCACATAGTCTTGAATACTTTACAGCAAAACAGAAACACCAGCTCCACACTTGCAGTATTTTAGGCCATTAGCAGAAAACAGGTGCATCACAGTAAGATGCTAGTAGAAAGGATTACTTCCAGAAAAATAAATCATCCCATGTGTCCAATTGTCTTTAAGGACATGGCTTGGTCTAAGGGCAGGGATCAAGTATGAAGGGGATTGTTTTTCTTTACTATCACCCCCAACAAAAGAACTTTTATCTCATCTCAACTCTAAAATGCACAACTTGGAACTGGAGATATCCAAACTAGCCCATTGCAAACAACTATGGTGCATCATGCAGACTATCTTGTAATTCCAAAGATTTCCTCACTAGCACAAAGAGCCAGCTAAATGAAAGAACTAGGGTCCAGTCTCAAAGGCAATCCCTGTAAGTCATGTGAATGGGGCAATGTCTTGGCAAGACAGGGCCAAGAAGGATATAAGGTAGCATTCTCCAAGTGGGTGCTTCTAGAGGTTTTGGGCTATAACTCAATAAGCCCTATACAGTTTTTGACAATTGTCTTAGCCATAGCACATAGCACAACCAGAGAATATCAAGTTTCATTTGCAATCATTTGTGCATCTTTAATGGACAGTATCATCTCAATATGGATTTTTGTTCCAGTTGATCAATACAGTTACCTCTGCTTTTTATATGATTTGGAAAATGCTGAATTTAAGCTGTTCAACGAGATACTATAGAAATGGACAATTTTCTACCCCTTATGTTAAATTTGTATTCTGAGGGAATATGCCCTCTTGTCATTAAGTAAACCACCTGATTTTTAACCTAGAACGTCTTGAATTACCTCCAGCTTTGTTTACACAGACTTCTTTGCTGATTCATCTGTCAAAGAATCTGAGTGTCTCACAGAGGTTGGAAAACAATTTTGATTTGAACAGCTAAATTTTCTTGCTTTGTTTTTTTTTTTAATGGAGCAATTACTATTTGCTTTTCCTTGTGTAGCCCAACACCACTCATATACTTGATAAATCTCAATGTATATGTCTGGAGATATTTCAGTAGTCAGTGTAACAATGTAGTTCGATACAACATGGCTTACCTCCAGGCACATTTTTCTTTACCCCCACTTTTGCCTGCATTTCTAACAGTCTTGCTTGATGAAGAGTTCTTTGAAATTTGGAACCTTGCCACGATTATATAAACCTTCCATTGATCTAATCATGATATTACTTTGATGTGGATTTTGGGGTTACAGTTAGGACTTAAAAGAAGTTCCTTGAGCCCAGTGATCTGTCCATGGTCCTGTTAACCTGATTTCCCTGAATTCCAGATCTGTATTGGATGACTAGGTCTGCCTGTTCCTATCAAGTGGGCCTTCTGCCGTCTTCTGGATCTTGCTATTGCTGCTGAGTGTTGGCTAGATACATTAGTTATTCATGGACTTTACCACCTTAGAACAGGATAATTAACTATGAAGTTTTAGAGAAAAAGTCCTTAAAGAAATGTGGCATACATCCAGGACATATCCCACACATCATTCATCCATAAAATTAATTGCCTAGGGATGCAAGACTATCATCTGCTTTATCAGTTACATTGCTTCTTACAGATAATACATACAGTATAGCTGTCTTGCATAATACCCATCCATGTGTTCATTTTGTTCCAAATATAATTTGTGAAGCTTCCATATACATAATAGCTCACTGGCATACATATTAATGGAACACATTTGCTCAAATCAGTTTCACATGCTTTTTTCCTTAAACAGAGATTAACTTTAAGATGAAGAATATAATGTATAAAGAAACCTTAAAACACTTGATTAACTCAGACACCAGAGACTTCAAAAGTTCATAAAGCAGCAGTGATTCAAAGGATGCAGAAGTTTTATTTTATTCAAAAATGTATATACTGTTTCCAGTAAGACATTGCCTAATTCTTAATTTTTGTCATAATAAATCATATCCAGTGTTCAGTAATATCTGAACATTAAAGGAGGAATTATTCAGCTCCTATCTTCACCTCAGCCACAGCAACATTGACTGAATAGACTGGAAGATCCAGGCTATTGCAGTAGAAGTTGATGAAAGGGCCACAGATTGGTAATTTACAGAATATCCAAATATCCGTTCAGATGATAAAAATAATATTTTTATCAACATGAAGGGACATTTGTATATTTGGTCAGATACTAAAATAGCCTGAGCCATCTCTCTATCTGAAGGTATGATGCATACATTTCTCTAAGTAAAGCACTGCACACTGAGTAGTCCTCAAACAAATCAGTCTCACTGCAAAGCATTACTCTTGAGAGAAAATATGAAACGGATGATATCAATGAAGAACTGAAGTATATATTTTGTATGTGGTGGCCACTTTTGTGCGGGTTTTACCTTATTTGTTATGACCTGTGATCAAAACAATAAATAAATTGATTGATTGCACACAGACTCACTAATCCACACACAGTTGTGTGGACAAATAATAAAATATGGAATGCCAGATTCAAAAAGAGTAACTTTTTAATAGGGAATAAGAGTGTATTTTTATGATCAATCTCAAGACAGAAGCATAGCAAACATCAATACCTTGATAACGTCAGTTATTGGCAATGGAAACATTTCTTTGATGAATGCAATAATGCCTTCAACGTCTGATGCACAGGCTAGCCTTACAGCACCCAAAATAGGTCTGAGTTTTTCTTCCACAAATATCTTTATCTCCAATGGTGTTGTATATTCCAAGAAGCTATCAGGCTTAAATTTAGTGGCCATCTGAGCTGTATATATATATATATATATAAAAAAAAATCAAGACAAATTACAGGTTTTCCTAAATTATGATGCATGGCTATTCTGCATTGTATTAAGTAACTCATTTGGAGCTTACTATTATCATCAGTACCCTAACATGGATTTCTAAGATAAGATGTAGGTCAGTGTTTCTCAACCTTGCCCACTTGAATATGTGTGGACTTCAACCCCCAGAAATCCCAGGGTTGAGAAATACTGATGTAGGTCTTTATGCAAGAAGGTTCCCTTAGATTCTGGAACACCCTGCAATCAGGGTTTCAGGATGCAAAGAAGCCAAGAGAACTTTGTATGTAAATGGCTGGTGCTATCTGAGCTGGGTGGCTTTGGACCTCTTTTTTCCCACTTTCAATTACATGAACTGGACAACTGAGATAGCTGTTCACAGTACCAAGGTTTTGTGTGACTGTGAAGAGATAACACATCCCTTCATATCAGAGTGAATTTCCTGAATACTATCTGAGGCCAGGAAGTCTTCCCCTCAAATCCTTGTATCCCCAAGATGTTCTTAACTTTAACCCAGTCCTACCCAGCATATTTTAGTCAGTCAAAGAAGAGTGAGGTAACATGCAAATTACATGTTTTTATCTGAAATCTTTAGACCTAAAAGAATTCCCTCCAGTCAGGCATGTCATATGAACAGCTGATCCAGTTGCTAACTGCCCCTTCTCCGTTGTGAGACAGAGATGGTCCTAGAAAAGCTAAGCAAAAATAGAGCATCTCTAGGAACTTTGTCTCTGTTACATGTTAATTTTCATTCCCATATGGCCATATATGGGAGTGAAAAAAAAAGGAGGAGGGGGGTTTGGTTGGGCATGGCACCTGACTCTCCATAGTGGCAATGTGAAAAAAAATCTAGAAAGTAACAGCCTCCCATTTGCTTTTGAGGTAGGTCAGAATTCTCATGAGAAAATGGTCACTCAATAGTTGACTGGGTCACTGGAGATTGTTGCACAGCCAATGTACAGAGATGTGTCCATAACCAATATATGGAACACAACCACCATATATTTAAGCAGTTTGCCCTGTTGTACTGAGCATTATAATTTAGTAGTAACTTTTATAGTAGTTTTGGAAGGCCATAATTTGCACACCCTGCTACTATATAGGAAAATGAAGCATGTGGGTCAGCTTTAAAAACTAGAATTCAAATCCCACAGACCTTTAGCAGTGCGAAGACTTCGGAGCTAAAGTGCAGAATAAAAACATCACCTCTTTTATTGGCTGTAAAGTGGTGCTTCTGCTTCTCATGGTGTTCTCTGGCATGGACTGATCCAAACCGTTTGCAGCACATTCTGCAAGAAGTGGCTGTTCCCACGGCTACAAATTTTGTTTCCCTTTTCAGATTCATATTCCAGCAACTCCTTTGATTGTTAGCCAGCACCATTCCATGCTCAGCCTGTTAAACAGCAACCTATATGAGTGAATTAATACTGAATCGCCTGAATCAGGAGACAGAGAAATTAATAATGGGAAGAAGAGGATACATAAGAACATTTTAAAAGCCCTATTGGAACAGACTGAAAACCATGGTAAAATAGTATTCTGTTTCTACAGTGGCCAACCGGATACTCATGGGAAGTTTGCCAATTTTACACAGAGGCATTATCTCCTCTTCCTATACAAGAGGTATTAATTGGAATTACAGGTAGTCCTCATTTAGTGCCCACAACTGGGACCAGCTGCACAGTCATTAAACAAAACTATCAATAAGTGAAACTGTAACTGTGCTTATGATCTTACTTCAGCTTTCCTTTGCTTTACAGACCTGTAAAGGTCCTAAATGTGAGGATTGGTTGCAAAGTTACTTTTTCATCACTGTCATATCTGTCAATGGTCACTGTCTGAGGCAGTTGCTAATCAGGGACTACCTATAGTAAATATCTATCATAACTAGTTGCTCTGACTTCCAGGGAAGCAATGGCAGACTGAAAACAGCTCTGCAAGAGTGAAGCTGATCGCTGCAGCAGAAAGAGGAGCCAATGAATTGGCTTATCAGAGCCCCTCTCTGGATTAAGGAAAGGACTAGGATCACCCACAAGTTTGCTTCACACAGAAGCTCCTTGTGAAGAGATCATAGAATAGCAGTCTCCACTGGGTTTGAGAGCTCTGGGAGCTGGGGGAAAATCATCATGCCTAAGCCACAGTTCCGTGCCTTCAAAAGGACACCAGTTTGCCCACTTCCTCTCTTAATTACCTTAGGAAATTACTTGTTACTGATCTTTTGGATGTTAAGAACCTTCTGAAGGGCAAGTTTCATGATGTGGGAGAGCTTCCTTCTATCTTGGATGAAAGAAATTGCATGTAAATTTAAGGATTAAAAAGAAAAAAATTAATTTTTGGAAAACAGCAAAAGAGGGACTAGAATGT